TACTAGATATTACAGCTACTGCACATACTACTCTACTACAGATATACAGTTACTACCAGTACTACACTACTACATCTACATCAGATACCACAGCTACCACAGCTACTAGAGATACTACAGCTACTACAGCTACTACAAATACTACAGTTACAACAAATACTACAGTTACTACACATACTACAGCTACTACACCGCTACAGCTACCTCGGATACTGCGGCTACTACAGATACTACAGCTACTACAAATAGTACGGTTACTACAGATACTAGCTACTACTGATACTACAGCTACTGGAGACAGACTGGCGCAAACAGACCGGAGAAAACAGATGCAGCAGTTGAGAGCACTGCAAACCTGCCTGTCATAGTAGAGCTCGACAATCCGCCCTCTGCGGAGGAACTCAGCAAGACCATCAATTCCCTTACCTGTGGCAAAGCTCCAGGAAAGATGGCATCCCACCTGAAGTCATCAAGACTCGAAAAGACAGTTCTCCTCGGCCACCTGTACCAGCTGCCACTGCAGTGCTGGGAAGGGGGTGTGCCCCAGGGGATGCACGATGCCAAGATCATCACTCTATATAAGAACAAGGGTGACCGTGGTGACTGCAACAACTACCAAGGAATCTCGCTCCTCTGTATTGTTGGGAAAGCCTTCACCTGCGTAGTCCTGAACAGACTGTAGCCACTTGCTGAGCACGTATACCCTGAGGCACAATGCAGATTCAGAGCTGGAAGATCAACAATTGGCATGGTCTTCTCCTTGCAACAACTGCAGGAGAGATTCTGGGAGCGGAGACGGCCGCTTTACAACACATTCATTGACCTACAGAAGATTGGTTGTTCCCCCAAGCTCCTGAGGATGATCACGCCCTTCCATGAGCTGCCTCCCAGGCTGGGAGGCAGGCTGGCTGTTGTCTTACACCTTCAGCCAGTCAGAGAACGGAATATATCTATACACCAGAAGCAATGGCAGTCTCTTCATCCTGGCCCACCTCTGTGCCAAAACCACAGTGCGAAAGGTTCTTACATGCAAGATGCTCTTTGCAGATGATGCCGCTCTAACCGCTCATTCCGAGGAGGCACTTCAGTGACTCATGAACTGCTTTGCCCACATGTAGAGAGTTTGGCTTGACTATCAGGAAGACCAACATCATGGGTCAAGACATAAGCAACACCCCAAGCATCTCCATCGGTGACTTCACACTCGAGGTCCTCGAGGACTTCACGTACCTTAGCTCCACCATCTCCAGCAACCGCTCTCTGCCGTGGATGTCAAACTTGACAAGTGGATCGGCAAAGCATCAACGGGCATGGCCCACCTGGTAATGAGGGTCTCGGACAAACCCGTGCTGACCTTCTACACTGAGATACAGGTGTACCAAGCCTGTGTGCTCCGTACTCTGTTCTATGGCAGCAAGTCGTGGACTCCCCATTCCTGCCAAGAACACAGGCTCAACACCTTTCACCTGCGCAACCTCAGGCGAGTTCTGGGTGTCACGTGGCAAGATCGTGTACCAAACAAGGCTGTCCTCGACCCGGCAGGCATCCCCAGCATGTTTGCACTTCTGACCCAGTACCGCCTTTAGTGGCTCGGCCATGTCAGATGAATGGATGACGGGCGGATCCCCAAAGACTTCATGTACGGAGAGCTCGCCACTGGTTCCAGACCTGCAGGAAGGCCCATCCTATGATTCAAGGATGTCTGCAAACGAGACATGAGGGTGGGAACATTGATCCAGCAGGCTGGGAGGCAGTGGCTGAAGACCACAGTTTTTGGGAGAAGTACCGTGAAGGCATGCGTTCTGAGGAGAGAGGAGCTGAGAGAACAGCAATGGGAAGAGAGGAGAGAGTGCAGACAGTAGAAGTCCCCCAAAGCCAGGCACAACTTTCACCTGCGGCACCTGCAACAGAGCCTGCCTATAACAGCAGGTGCTGCATCTCAACCACTAACTAAATCATGGCACAGAGTTCTATCGTCTCCCCAGACAGACACACGCCAACTACAGCTACTACAGATACTACCGCTACTACAGCTACTACAGCTACTACAGCTACTACAGATGCTACACTAAACCAGCTACTACAGATACTACAGTTACTACAGATACTACAACTACTTCAGATACTACACCTATTACTTGTAGCACCTGCAGGAGCTGTAGTATCTGTAAAACCTGAAGAAGCTGTAGTAGCAGTAGTAGTTGTAGTATCTGTAGAACTGTTGGAGCTGTAGTAGTTATGTAGTTGCAGTAACAGTAGTAAATGTAGTAGTACTAAAGATACTACACCGTGTACTGCAACTACTACAGACTACAGTTACTACAAATACTACAGATTCCACAGCTACTACAAATAGTACGGTTACTAAGGATACTACAGCTACTACAGTTACTACAGTTACTAGTTATTAGTTACTAGGTACTAGTTACTACAGTTATTACAGATACTACAACTACTTCAGATACTACAACTGTTAGATTCCACAGCTACTACAAATACT